CAAGTATCTAGGGGTCATAGTTGACCAACATTTGTCATGGCATAGGCACATTGAATTAATCATGAATAGACTTAGGAAACTTACTTGGACATTTAAAACACTAAGAAATATCGCTACGAAAAATTTAGTTTACCAAATATATATTGCTTTGGCTCAGTCTATTTTAGTATATTGTATTCCTGTATGGGGTGGTGCTACTAAAACTAAGTTTTTAGAAGTTGAAAGGGCACAGAGAAATTTGTTAAAAATTATGCATTTTAAACCAAAAAGATTCCCAACAGAAGATCTCTATGCTATAAGTAATGTACTCACTGTTAGGAAACTGTACATCTTATATTCCGTTCTAAGACTGCATAAAGGTATAAAGTTTGACCGTTGTATTGTAGCCAAAAGAAGGAAAAACCTAGCAGCTACAGCCGTCACTGTTAAAACCGCTTTAGCTAGGAGGCAATATGTAAAACAGTCTGCGACTCTGTACAACGTCATTAATAAAAACATAAATATTTACCACCTTAATTACCGAAATTGCAAATATGCTCTAACCAAATGGCTATTGAATAAGGCTCTTTTAAGCATCATAAAATAATGTAATTTAATTGTAACACACACACACACACACACACACACACACACACACACACACGCACGCACGCACGCACGCACGCACGCACGCACGCGTTTGCGCATAAACGCACCTTTGGTGTGAATGTAATTACTTTTATTATCTTAATTTATATAGTCAATTATTATGTATAAAGGTCATGCAAGTAGTTAATGTAAGTGCTATGGAAGAGCGGAGTCTCCTAACACAAGTTTTTATACTTAAAAGGAGACCCCGTCCCCGGTTATAATTAATGTATGATCATTTACTGAATAAACTATTTTTATTTTTTATTTTATTTTTTTAAGTCGTACCAAAATCCCCCAAAGTGTTAAGTAGTAAATTGCCCGAAAATCCGTAGTTGGTATTCAAGAAGTAGATGGTACCGGAAAGGAAGAAAGTTGGACTATCTACAAAAAGAAATGAGATGCCATCAAAAATATAACTTGTAAAAAAAAAAGTCTCGCAACTCGCAACGCAACACTAAACAATCTAATTTCATATAATATGTATTACTTGTGAGATACATTGTGTTTTCATGCGATGGCCAAGTCAATCTATTTATTTAAAACATAAAAGATTTTTAATATTGATATGGTCACTATAAGATGTTGTTAGGTTAGCTAATTACGTAATAAATTGAGACAAAAGGACCCTTAAGTAGGGACTGAATAATCTCACAACTTTTTACGGTAGAAGAACTGAGTTGCGAGACTTGGTTTTTTTTTACATGTAGTAATTATCATCACTATTTCTATTTTTTTCATCAAAATTAAATGAAACGTTCGTGAGGCGTGCACTTTTCGGTTTTCCTAATTACATAGGCTGCACTAAAAGTATCGGGAATGGAATATTTCCACTGTTCCTGTCATATTAAAATCTTTTTAATTGAAAAGACCTTGGTTTTAAAAATCGAATACCATTTATTTATTTAAAAAAAGATTCTCGGTCTTGTCACAAGGTTTTGTCAAACTTGTTTAGTCGTTGAGAAAATGGAATTGACTCGAGAAAATTCAAGAGCGATGATTTATTATGACTTTCGAAGTGCTTTAACACAAAAACAGTGTGTTGACCGGATGATTTCTGCATTTGGTGATGAAGCCCCATCCAAAACCACAATTTATCGCTGGTTTGCTGAATTTCAACGTGGACGTGTCAAGCTCAATGATGATCCCCGTCAAGGTCGTCCAAAAACTGCAGTCACCCAAGAAAACGTTGATGCTGTGCGTAAGCTGATTGAGGAAGATCGACATGTGACATACCGCGAAATTCAGGCAACTTTAGACATTGGCATGAGTCAAATACAAATAATCTTGCATGAACAATTAGGTTTAAAAAAGTTGTTTTCCCGATGGATACCGCATTCGCTCTGTGAAGAGCAAAAAGCGGCTCGCGTTACTTGGTGCGTCAGAACTCTCGAAAGATTCCACGCAGGATCCTCAAATGCTGTATACAATATCGTATCGTAAAGCCAACAAAAATTGTTCGTTCACGGAGTGTTGCAAAAAAATGGTGGCCACGTTTGTCTCCAAAACCGGCCATGTTACGACTATTCCTCTTGAGAGACAAAGAACGGTTAATGCGGAATGGTATGCTAGCATTTGTTTGCCACAGGTCGTTTTTGAACTCCGTAAAGAGAACTGCAACCGCCGCATCATCCTCCATCACGACAATGCGAGTTCTTACACCGCACACAGAACAAGAGTTTTTAGAGCAAGAAAACATAGAATTATTAGACCATTCGCCGTACAGCCCCGACCTAAGCCCTAATGATTTCTATACTTTCCCTAAAATAAAGAATAAATTGCGTGGACAGAGATTTTCTTCAGAGAAGCTGTGGACGCCTACAAACCAGCCATTTTGGAGACCCCAACTTCCGAATGGAATGGTTGCTTCAATGATTGGTTCCATCGTATGGAAAAATGTGTCAAATTTCGCGGAGAATACTTCGAAAAGTAATAAATACATTTTTAAATAGTAATGTTGTGTCACTTCCTTGATTCCCGAAATTTTCAGTGCCGCCCTCGTATCTTAATTTTATTTTTTACTTATTTGTTTAATTTATGTACACCTCCCCTTTTCGTCATTCGTTCGTCAGTTTTTTTTGCGCAAAAAGGTTGTCTGTGAGAAATCGCTTCCAGAGTGATAAGATAACCCATTGTATCTTCTTTATAATTGTTATTTTGTTATGTTTTGTAGCAGACTTCATAATAAGAAGAGGTTCACAATTCGACTGTATGATTTTTTGTGTTTATGTTACACGATAAATTATATTGTTATTAAATAGCTTATACCTCGGGTAGTCCCAAAAAATTTTGAAGAAAAAAATTATATCCTTGTGGTGGCAAAATAGGGATAGAAGTTTTTTGTAAAAGGGTAATTTAACAAAAAGAATTAATGGCCCGAATTCAGAATGTGAAGTTATTTTATTGTGTTTTAGGGCACCGTAGTTACACAAGAAGGAACCCTTACAGTTTCGCCATGTCCTTCCGTCTGTCCGCGGTTTTGCTCAGAAATCCTAGGTGCTACAAATGTGTAATTTGGCATAGTTATAGATATTAATCACGCCTAGAAAACTGTGAAATAAAAATCTTAAAAAACATTTTTTATTTTGTACAAGTAAATACAATAAAATATACAAGTAAATGGAGGATATTTTTACCCGTCTATTCCATCATGTGGGGTATCGTTGGATAGGTCTTTCAAAAACATTGGGGGTGTGGAACGACATATTTTCGATTCAGGAGTCCGTTTGCGAAATATTTTGCTTTAAAGTGGTATTTTTCATTAGTCATGTGTGTACAGACAGACAGAAGGTCCACATAACAATTTTTTTTTGTTATGAGTGCCGTATATCCTTTCATATGCATTTAGTAAAAAGCTGTTATTTTGACATTACAAACAGACAAATTTTTTGCAACTGTAAGTGCTTTTATGTGTCCTGTCCTGTCAATACGCAATAGGGTAGCTCATATAAAATTTCGTTTAGCAGCATAGAGAGATAGATGATGGTTACCAGCATAGTATTGTGTGCGAGCTTGGATGTAAATAAAGCACGGTCACGGAGCAGGATGTTTTATTGCTTTGTATTTTTAAACTTAATTCCCATCATTAAAAGTTTTATTAACTTCCTTCTGCGTAGCATTGAAAGGAAGTTAATGGTTTTAGCTGGCAGTCTGTTAGTCTGTATGCCAGCACGATAACTTCCGTTCCACTGTACCGATTGACTTTAAATTTGGTATGTGGATACCTTGAGGTAGTAGCTCGGTCGAGTTTGAATTTGGGTCCTGTAGGTCAAAGGGCACCAGAGATATGGGATTCACGCAGAAGGAAGTTGTTTTTCTTTATTTTACATTCAACTCGTTTCTATTGTAACTAAAATTGTTTTAGGACCTTTTGAACAGTATTTGTGATCCGAAAACCGAGCTCATTCTCAAGTCATTAAAGTTCACATTTGTATGAATTGCAATAATTTGAAATTATTCCTGCTCCGCGATCACGCCATAACAGTATGATGTTGATGCGGCTACCTCGTTGGTCTAGTGATTGTAAGCGATACTGCTTATAATAAGTCAAAGAAAATCAGTTATTGAGTTTTCTGTCAAGAAATTCCAATAGCAGCCCGGAGCGAGGAAGTTGGTGGCGCTTCACCCCCGTGCCTCGAAAGGCTCTTGAAGTCGTTGGTTCTGCGCCTGATACCTCTCCGGTCGTGTTGGATTCGTCCCATCGGAATATAAAGTGTGAGGGAATAGAGTGATTCTGTGCTTGCACAGTTGTGTACTGTCTTTGTGTGTTTGTTTAATGTTGCTGTTTTGATTTTTACGCGATAGAGTCATGCTGCAGCATTATTGTGGTTGCAGCACGAATGGATCCGTTAGATCGGGGTAGGACCACGCTCTCACAAAATACCAGCATAAAATAGCAGCTTAATGCTGCTGTGTTTTGTATGGTGAGTGTAGAGAACAGGAGACCCTTTTTACAGGTGACAACGCATCTGCATATTGATTCTTAATTGAGGATAGATGTCTATGGGCCACAGCTTCAATTTACCATCAGGTCGACTGTGTGCTCGTTTATCACCATTATTTTAATTAACAAAAAAAGACAAATTACGAGAACCAGGCACCCTTTTTACTGCTAACGAGGCATTTCACGGTATCCTAAGGGATTTCAACGCGTCTGTATTTTGATTCTAAATCGAAAGTGGATGCAGGTTGCCCTATGTTCTATGGGCTACGGCATACACTTACAATCAGGTGGGCTATCTGCATGTTTTCACCCGTAATTCTTTAAAAAAGTTAGGTACTGATAGTACTGTTCTTTTTAAAAACCGTGTTCGTCCTTCTGTCTCTTTCTCAACACAGTAAGATAACAGTGATGTATTGTTTCAGGTACAAAGATGACAGTGATAGAGAGGCAAGAAATACTCGGTCCTTCTCCGGAGTTGAACTATAGGAAGGACCAGAACGGTCACCGGACCGAGCACGGTATAGGCGAGGTGAGAGGTCTTGCATTTACGCTTTCACAATAAATTTAAATTAATTTTATAATTAACTGGATTATAGTGTTAGTTTATTCTATAAAAACAAAAATACTAGGTGGAGCGGCAGACTTAGTTACTTTTAAGTTAAGTGGCGCTACGAGCTTAACTGTGAATTCACTCTGAACTTGTTACAGTTTTAATATAAAATTTATTGACAACTCGACCATAGTGCCTGTCGGTTTAATATTTTGTGATTTAATTTTCTGGCACTAAACCAATCGGTTTACTATTGTGATCTATAAATATAGAATTTGTTATAAACTTTGTAACAGCGCTGCCTATCGGATTCTAACGTCGTCTAAAAAAAAACAAATATATTGTGTTAATATGACCTCGGACAATCTGTTAAGTCGGTCAGAAGTTGTACGATCACTAACCGACGTAGCTGCGATTAATTGTACAGCCAATTGTAAAAAGCGACTCAAAAAAAATCCCGTTGAGATTCTTGTTGGTTCTTCCCAGACTCAGGTTTTTTCTGCATCAGTGGCAAAAAAAAGTAAAAATATGGCTTTAAAACTGTAAACTAAAATGAGTATTATTGATACTCTGTATTGAATTAAAAAAAAAAACACGAATTGAAAACCTCCTCCTTTTTGAAGTCAGTTAAAAATAATTGTATTTTATTCCATATTGTGTGTAGTGGCAGTATAAGAATATCCACTAGCACATATTGTCCCGTGAGTATCGTAAGAGGCGACAGAGGTATAATGTGTTCGTTTAGAATCTAAAATCGAATCTAAACTTTAGATAGTGTCAGTTGGTGTCAGTACACCCAGAGGCGCTTATTATTTTGCTTTTATTTTGTTATTTTTACTATGTTTGTTAAATAAATGTTTTACTATTCTAAGAATAAAATAAAATACTTTTCACAGTGGTAGAGCCATGCGGCAGCTTTTGCTGTCGCACGGATGGGCCGGCTCGAACCGGGGTGGTACCACGGCCTCACAGAAAACCAGCGTGAAGTAGAGGTTTGCCTCTGCGTTTCGCTTGGTGAGTGCAGGTGGCCGGAGGCCCTTTTTACTGGAAATGAGGCATTCCATCTTAGTCCTCACGGGTGAAAACGCATCTACATTTTGATTTGTAATAGAGGATAGATGTAGATGTCTATGGGCCGCAGCAACCACCTACCATCAGGTGGACTGTGTGCTCGTTTGTCACCCTTATTCTATAAAAAAAAAAAAAACAATTTTATTATTATGGTTATTGGAATAAAATACGAATATAAAGAATAAAAACAAATTAGGGGGCAAAGAATCTTTCAATACGGTGTTTAGTTTTAAAATGCCAAATTCTCCTTCGGGTGTACGCCGCACGCGGCGACCGTATCTAAGCGAACAGGCTATACACATCTTCTGGTCTGTTTATATATATTGTTAAGGCTTTTATATACATATATATACCAGAATCACTAATATATATATATATATATATATATATATATATATATATATATATAATTCCAACCGCCAAATTCCACTATAGAAGATCGACCCCCATGTGGTTGGTTTATAAATTAATTTTCTATGTACACTGAAAAAGATAAGTAGTCTGGGAGTTAAGTCAGAATGAAATCCATCGCGCCACCTACCGTAAAAGCTGGTACAACGTTTACCGGGTATACTAATGATGACAATTTTGTACGTGCAGGTTTCCTCACGATATTTGCTTTACCAGTGAGAACGTGGTAAATCACCACTTAAAATTGCAATTATCAATTTCTATGGTGCCGGCGGGGATCAAATCCGGCTTGTGATCTATTAAATTTAAAACGACCTACCAAACTTGAGTAGTAGTTAATAAATGTATATAAACATTTCAGACAAATTTGGAGTTCCATTTCTACCATTGCATGGACTTAGTCAAGGCCGGTATGGAATCCATCATCGAGGACCAGGTCACTTCCGTCTTCGAGGCTGAGGAGTTGAGAAGTTGGAACCTTCTAACTAGGACTAACAGGTGCAGTTGCTTTTTCGTCCACAGGCTCAATCTCTTAACGAGTTCTACCTGGATATAGACCTTTTAAGACCCTTTCTCTGCCTAGGATATACGCAATGCTGTTGTGTCCCGGTCTGAAGAGTGTAGAGAATCAGTATTAATTACACGCTGTGAGCCATTACATCTGTTCTCAGAGGTGAAAACGCATCTGCAGCCTTCTTTATTTGAATGCAGGTGTGCATAATTTGCAGTAGTATCCTACCATCAGGTGAACTGTGAGTTCATTTTGTTACTACAGTTTATAAAAAAAATACCGGCAATTCTCAGTTGCCCTGTGCAGGTGAGGTTGGTTAACATTTCGGAAACAAGTTATTACGTATGCAGTCACGCTATAACTTAATGGGTCAGCTTGACCGGGGAAGGACCACCGTCTCACAGACTACCAGCGTAAAATAGCAGCATCATGCTGCTATTTTATGCTGTTTCGTATGGTGAGTTTAGAGAATGCAGATCCGTTTTACTGGTATTTTTTATTTTCATTCCCCAAGATGCGGTATTTATTGTTGACTCGTGTATTTAATAATAGTAATAATAATTTTAATATATGACATTTTTATTTATTTGATTTTTTTTTCTCAATATAGATGTAGAGGCGCCATTACGAAATGTTTTATGTCATGGGTATCACTGCACAATGCTTTTCAACTATAATATCTGGAACTTTTGTGAATATTTAATACACTGGCGATTATTGTATTTTTATAATGTGTTATCTATTTTAAATTTATCTATTTGTCTTTTATTGGCTATAACGAAAAGAAATATATTTGTACACCACACTGTAGTTAAGATTCCAACGTTTGGTCGCACGAAATAGTATCTAGCAATCATATTTAATTATATATATATATACATATAAATGATATAAAAAGCACATTGTCAGAAAGATAAATGATTGTGAACTTATTAATATTTTTTTTAAATCGATTAATTGCTATTTTTACTCAAAAACGGGTTTTAGTGGTTTATGGTGTGGATTTATCAAGTCCGCATGGTGTCGTAAACACGATAACTTTTGAAAATATCATTTGTTTAACTCAATCCATTTTTTTACTAACATTTAATTGACTGTGTTCACAAATAAATAGATGAATTTAAATTTGGCAAGATGCTTGCTATTATAGTCCTCGGGGGTAATACTGCATTAACATTTTTATTCTCAATGTATAGATGTAGGTGTCTATGGAACACAACATCCACTTACCACCAGGAGAACTGTGTGCTCGGTTCCATTAATTATTTTAAAAGGGTGGTATTACACCACAGAGTAAGTTTAATAAGACATATTGTCTATAAAATATGAAATACCATCAAAGCCAAACGAAGGTGTTGATTGCTGTGATAAGTGTGCACGATGCAAACAAAGTGATACGTCGAACGAAATACTTACTAAATGCTTGTCGTAACCAACGCTAGTTGAACAACCTAGGGGCGGTGGGCGGAGCCATGAGGGAGTTACGATCGTCGGGCCGCGCTCACGGTTCAACAACTAGCGATGGTTGCACACAGCAACGCGGGAAAAGCCTTATTCAGAATATTGAAAAATATAGTTTTGTATTTAAATAATTAGTATTGTAACTATGTAATAACTCTCCCAATAAAGGCACCGAACGAATAGCGAGAGTTAACATAGATTTAGAATGTAGTAATTGTAAAGTAATTATTGTATGTAAATTGTATTCCTTTATATAGTACAACTTAATTTCTTGTATATTAAGCCCTTAGGCACGTAAAATAATAAACAGGGCATGTTATCGTGACGCAGCCGCGGAGCAAATGAGGCTACGCGCACCGCGCCACGACATTTTATATTTATAGTACTGAGGCGGGGGGCAGGGTCCTCAGCCCAAAATTGTTGAAAAACAAAGTTTACACCTTTTAGTATGTAGAAAAATTGTTATGTACGTATTAGTTTAATAAGTAGTTGTAAGAATGTTATATATTTAATTCTGTTCGTTAGTTTGTAAGAAATATAACTAATAAAAATAATAAGAATGGCGCGGGGGTGAGACAAGGGTCCGCTGGCCAGCAACGGCCAAATCGTATATAAGACGGGCCGGCCGGAACGGTCGGCTCAAAAAGATTCCGCCTGTGGCACCGCTCTCGAGCGGTCGTGTCCAGGTAGTCCGCGCATCCGTCCCCGTACGGTAGTGCTCTCTCGCTCTCGCGCCTCCGCTGTCCTGCTCGCGCTGTACAGCGTCGACGCTTTGGTGAGTCATTTCTGCTAACAGTTCTTGCCCCCCTGTCTTTGGGCAGGGAGGTTTGACTGACCTCTGCTTGTTATTGTTATTTTTATTGTTAATTCTTATTGTTAACTATTTCTAATTTTGTTTTCGTTATTTATTTGTATAACGTGTACGTGTATATACTGTTTCTAGGGAGTTACTTGCTCTTTTCAGAGCAAGGCCCTGCTCTTTTGAGAGCAGGGGCACTTACTCCTTGAATAAAGAACGTCCCGTTCTTTTGGGAACGGTGATCCCCCGCCCTTACTGTTTAGGTACAGAACGTCTCTGTTCTTTTCAGAACAGCACCCCCTAGCCCTTTCCGTTTCAAATACATACTGATTCGTAGGCCCTCAACATGTCCACAGTTACCCAAGTTAAGTCCCTCGTCGCCGCCCTAAACCAAACTCTTGGTCTGGGCCTAAACCTCGATGAGACGGCCCTCGCCGCCATCGCCGCCCTTGTTACTCCACCTGCCCGTCAGACACTCCAACCGCCGCCCGTACTCGCGGCCTACCTAGAGACCAAGAACTCTTTCGCCCCATTAGAAATGGAGTACGCATGCTCCGAGTCCTCTGCGTCGGCCTCCCGGAAGAGGCCCGCCACCAATTCTGGCACCGGTTCATCGGAGTCCTGTGACTCCGACGGAACCGGGGATTCTTCGTTCACCGCGGTGAACTCCAAGCGCAGCGGTAAACGCGCCGCGAAAAACCGCACCCTCCCTGTCTCAGCGGCCCCTGCCGCTCCTTCAACCTCCGCAGCTCCCGCTGCCGCCTCTGCCCCCGCAGCCCCCGTCGCTGCCTCGGCCCCACTTATGTCACTAGACATCCCCGCTCCGACCAAGCCAGCCTCTCGCTGTTCTCCAGTCCTTGCCAAGAAGCAAGTCCCGCCCCCTGTCTTCCTAAGAGACAAGGCCAAATTCACAGAACTCTCCAAAACCTGCTACAACGCAGGCATAAAATACGACCACGCCATTAACCTCGGGGAGGCTATTAAGATCATCCCCCAATCAATCGACGACTTCCGGCGTCTCACCAGGCTATTCACAGCCGAACGAGTTTCTTATCATACGTACGCTCTCCCGGAAGAGCGCAAAGTCAGGGCCGTCATCCGCGGCGTCCCCTTCGAATTTTCTAACGAAGAAATCCTTGAGGACCTTAAGTCCCAAGGTTTCCCAGTTGAAGCCGTGCACAAAATGCACAGTAGAACGGGCCAGAGGTTCTCTCTTGCCCTAGTTATTTTAACCAACGTGCCGGAGGCAAAAGCCATCTTCCGGCAGGTACGCACAGTGTGCGGCCTGTCGAGAGTGAGGGTTGAGCCTCCACATAGGCGCGGGTTCCCGGCGCAGTGCCACCGCTGCCAGCTGTATGGTCATGCGGCGGCCAACTGCTCCGCCCCACCCAGGTGCGTTAAGAGCCTTGAACCCCACAACACTAAAGAGTGTCCTCGGCCCAAAGACGCCGAATCCCCACCCGCGTGTGTCCTGTGTAAACAAACAGGCCACCCGGCTAACTACAGAGGCTGCCCTTGCGCACCTCATCCTCGCCCCAGTAGGCAAGCTCCACCGCCGGTCAATGACCGCTCATTCCCGGCTCTTTACCAACGGATGCCCCGTCAGGGCCTTTCTCAGCCTACCCAGGGCTTCTCTCGGCCCTCTCAGGGTCCCCCTAGGCCCCCTCAGGGACCTCTTCGGCCCCCTCCGGGCTTCTCTCAGCCTATGCAGCCTCCAGTCTTTCCCTGGGGCCCCAAAAAGGCAGACCCACCGCGGATATCCTCCGCCCCACAACAATCACAACCCTCAATGGCTGATGACCTAAAAACGGTGTATTCCGCTATTAGGAACATCAACGTTGAGGAAATCGCTGTGTTAGCACGCAAATTGCGCGCTGCGAGGTCCCCTCAGGACCGTCTTCTCGCTCTTGCAGAGAATCATAATCTTTTGTGCTCGTTGTAAGTTAAGTTAACTTAATTAACTTAACTCACAATGACAAAGCAGTTTGCTCTACCAAAGTCTCACGGTCGTATCAAACCTAAGGGTTTATCGCTTGTATCCTTTAACATTCGCGGTTTGCGAAATAACCTCCCAGAGCTTAAGCTCTTTCTTCGAAATCGTGAAGCCGATTTCCTCCTCCTACAGGAAACTAATCTCAATACTAAGGACACTAAAGGCCTTTCCATCAAAAACTTCTCTCTTCTTCGTAATGACAGACCCGACCGCCGAGGCGGCGGTACGGCCATTTATTACAAGAAGACACTTCACTGCTCTCCCATTTCTACTCCGCAACTTTCCAACATGGAAGCCACGGTATGTAGGCTAGCTATGACTGGACATCAGTCCATCTTCATAGCCTCCTGTTACATCCCTTCTAAAACCCTTCCCCTCAAAAAAGATTTTGAGGCTATTTTATCTCTAGGCAATTCAGTCATTATGTTTGGAGATTTTAACTCCAAGCACACTGAATGGACATGCCGTACTACTTCACGTAGTGGCAGGATACTGCTCGATATCACGCAGTCTCTTGACCTTACCGTCCACAGTCCTCTCGGTGCTACTCACTATCCCGATATCACCGATTACGCTCCCGACGTGCTAGATTTTGCACTATTCAAAAGTGTTTCCCTCAATCTCAGGGCAATCGAGACACTAGACGATCTAGGATCCGACCACAGACCGGTCTCCCTCATTCTTGGCCATCAGCCACCCCCCTCAACACCCTCTACTAAAACCTTCACAAATTG